AGGCTGCTCAAACAGCAGATAAACTCTCATCACAGCAGAGCCGATTAGCTGTGCCTTTCACCGCTGAGCCCAAACCTATAGTCTGACACCTCTATACAAACAATGGACCAGGAAATAAATAAGCCAATCAGGTAAGCAAAGGGAGAAATCTTGTGCACTACATTGAGAAATATATAAGGGGGTTTGATTTTTTAAAAAGGAATTTATCTGTTCAGTTCTCATTTATGTCAGTTCTTGATAAGATTAGAGGATTAAACCAACTGAATGCTAAATGCTCTGTGCTGGAGAGAGTCCTGCTGGGATTTACTGCATGTTGGCATGTACAGAGACCACACAGCATCACCCAGAGACCCTGGGACTCACAGAAGGACCCGTTCAAACTTCTGAAATAAAAATCACAGCTTATCCAGACTTTCCATATGACGCCAGGGTACGAACTCCTATCCCTCTCCAGTTTCACTAAAGCTTGCTTATTAAGTACTTGTACCCAACAGGCAAGTCTTTGTATAAGCAGCACTTATCTCGGAGCACTGGCATCACAAGAGGATTTCAGATGTGCTGTGGCTTTTTGGATGCAAAATGTTAACAACCGTGTGCATCCCTCCCCCAGTGCCAAACAGAAGCACACACATCCTGTCACCCTCCTGCTGTTACATGCACACACCCCACAGCTACCCCCATAAACTCCTGCACAACACAGCTTGTTAAAAACACAATTGACAGTTTCTTAAAGGACTCAAAGTTCTCCTGTAACTTCACCGCTTCTTCTATTGGCCTGACAAACACATTTGTGATGTTTAGTTCGTTAATTCTGAAAAAGCACAAGATCTTGGGAGGTACAGCCAAGGACAGGCAGGGTATTGGGAGAATTTTTAGCACCTAGCAAACACATTCTCCCCAAACACCTGAAAACTAACGGCAATTTCACCGGTGTGAACTCCCTTATTCCTGTGCCCCAAATTATAGTCGGATATTGTCACCTTGGCTCCCTACCAGTGCCCCACTCTGTGGTAAGGAGACCACGCACCACAAGGGTGTTTGTCAATATAGCTAAGAACACCAGACTATAGCCAGTGAGAGAAATCTAGTTAGAGTATCAGTGACTTCAGCTGGTGTTTGGGGTTGTGGTTTGGGTTTTTTCCTGCCCCTGAGGAGGAATTTGCCCTGAACGTTGCAGAAACTGAATCACGATCTGATCTTCGCCACCGTGGGCGGCTGGAAAGGTGCTGATGCTACTTCCCAAATGCCAGTCTGGCTCTCACATATTACACTGTTACACATTGCTCTGGGCCATTTGTCCCCTTCCCCTTGTGCCTCGAGGTGAAACGGTCACAAATGCTGATGGGTAGTTTCCCCTTGAATCATTTTCCTATCAGACAAGCATTCTCCTTCCATACAGGAGTATCTTCCCCATGGGAATACAGCAGGTATTCATAGGGGCAGCAGGAAGAAAGGAGGAATGGATCTTTTATCGTATTAAGCATTTCCATTCCATCTTTATTGTCTTTTCTGTAGCTCAGGTCTGTTTTATTCCAGGCTTAGGGAATCACACTATAAGGCTCCAAGGGGTAAAGAGGCTGTCTTGATGAGTCTAACCTCTGAAGATGCATCCAGGATGATAAAAGAAGTGTAGCTATTGAAACATCTCCCTTCAATACAGTTATTGTGTTGCTAGGTTTCCATCTAGACACGCAGCCTAAAAGAGCAATCAAAGGAAGCTGATGCTGTGGATAATATCTTTATCAACACTTCACAAGGTTGTTGGGGAGGAAGAGGGGAAAAATATTGTCCCCGAGCAAAGTTGTTCTGATGAGAATAGACAGCTAGTTTCAAAAGCTCGCCCAAATTTTCATGAGAAAATTGTTTTTTAAAAAAACTGAGCTCTTAGGGTAGTAGATTTTATGTGTATCAGCATGTGGCTTTGTGAGCAAGAAGTCTGTGTGTTTATTCTGTCATTTGAATTGTAAAAGTACTTCCCTTTCAACACACAAGTCCTCACCCCACTTAACTAAAGCCTGTCTTGCAGCAGCAGACGAGGGCACGCATCAGCCTTGTTTTTAGAGGAACTTATTTGTTGCATATTACATTAAATCCCAACAGACTCTGCACTGCTGTCAAAATACTATCCTAATAGTTGCATGAGGGAAGGTTGCTAACCAGCACACTGCTATGCCTGTGCACAAAACAAAGGTTCAAGTGACACAGGATGCAGCAGCGAGGCAGATCCCCGAGGGACCGGCCACCTCCAGCTCACTCCGCCTGTCCCAAAGTTTTTCAGTTATATTCAGCTTCTGCCCTCTCAAGTGCTTTTAAACACCCGGGCAGTAGCAAACAGCCCCACACTCTTTTGGTTTGGTCATCTCATCACCAAATCGGAAAGAACAGAAAAGAGTTCATTTTCTCCAGGAGTCCGGGTGTTTTGCTGTCATGTCCTTGGAGACCACCTGGAACAGCGAGGGCCCAGGGCCAGGCTGCACTCGGGACTGTTGCTAAGCAATGTAATGTCCTTACTAAGTGGTATGAGGTTTTTAGGCAGGAAAAGTCCGTTTCTACACAAGCCAGTATAAAACAGAAAGGTTACCTTACGTGTGCCAGGTATGCTCTTTACAGCTTTTGGACCAGCACCGGACACCAGCTGCTGTCATAGACGAGGATCCCTCCTGGCTGGACCTGCTGCCATCCCTGAGCGTGGCGAGCGCTCCGCTGGCTCTGCTCCTCCTCAGGGAGGCCGGCCAAGCCTCCGTGGAGCCGGGGACACAAAGCTGCTCAGTTCTGGCGCCCAACTTTTCCCCCAGGAGAACAGCCCTGCTGCAGGCGCAGCTCAATCAGCTCATTATAGAGGCAGCCTCCCGAGAAACGCTCTCCCTGTGCATATTCATGAACTCTCCAGAGCTTCCAGGGAGAGTTGGCTAAACACACAACTGAGGGATTTAGCTGTTGGATTCCCAGAAAAAAAAAAAAAAAAAAAAAAAAAGGGGGGGGGGGAGAAAGGAGGGCGAGGAAGGAGCAAAGGGCTTAAAAAAAAAAGTGACTAGCGGAGCGACTGCAGCGGTGCTGCCCTAAGCACCGCGGGACCCAGGAGCCCGACCGACCCCTGCGTCACCTCCCGAGCGCTGAGGGCCGGTGGCGGGCACCGAGGAGAGGGTGTCACGGGAGACGGCTGTGCCCACAGACCCCCAAAACACAACCCACTTCCACCCCGGGGCCGCGGAGCGCATCACTCACCTCCGCCCGGCCGGGCGGCAGCAGCCGAGGGCTCGCAGCGATGCCGGGGCACAGCCGGGTCCGCGGTACCGGGGCAGAGCGGTACCGATGCCGGACACAGCGGTACCGATGCCGGGGCACAGCCGGGTCCCGCGGTACCGGGGCAGAGCGGTACCGATGCCTCTGCAGCGCCGGCGGCAGCGGCGAGCGGCGGTCGCGGTCCCGGTCCCGCAGCCCTCCCCCGGCCCCGCCGCCGCCTTTTAACGCCGCTCCGCCGAGCGCCGCGGCCGCTGCTGGCACGGCCCGTCCCGCCGGCCCCCGGGGGCGGCCGACAGCCCTCGCCGCGGTGCCGCGGGATGCGGAGCGGAGGGATGCGGAGCGGAGGGATGAGGAGCGGAGGGATGAGGAGCGGAGGGGTGCGGAGCTCCGGGGCTGCCGCCGCCCCGCCGGGCTGCGGGCGGCGCTGCGGCCGCGCTCTAAAACCGCGCTATAAACCGTGCCCCGTGCGCGGCCCCCGCCCCGCCGGCCCCGGTGCGGCGGCGCCGGACGGGCAGCCCCGGTGGGGAGAAAGGGCAGCCCCCGTGGGAAGGCAGCCCCCGTGGAAGGGCAGCTCCGCGGCCCCCCCGGGCAGGGGGGGTACGGGCACGGCGCTTGGGAACAGCCCCCGGTGCCCGCCCGGCCCCCGCGCACTCCCCGGCGGAGGGGGCGGGTACGGGAGTGACCGCCGGGACCGGGAGCTGCGGGTGATGCCCGTGGCCCCTCCGCCACACGGGCCCATCCCGGGACTGCCCTGCCCGCCCGCGCAGGGAGCGCTGGGTTTGCGGGCTGCCGTTCGCAGAGGGATGGGGGTGCCCCGTGTGACAAGCGTGGGAGTGTCCCGGCTCTGCCACCACGCCGGGACCGGGCGCGTCTTGGGACAGAAACTGCCAGAAACTTTCGCAGCACCTGGCTGGTACTGCGGGTGCAGCCCCTGTTAGAGCCGGGGCTCTGAGAAGGACTCATCAGGTATTCGCTGGTACCCTCACCACCAGATAAGTGCTCTATAAAGGAGACATCTCTATGCGTTCAGTTGCAGAGGTATGCGGCAACAACCCCTGAATTAAGTAGGAGTCGTTAAATGGGAGGTAGCAAGACGTGTTAATTAGGGTGGTACAGACAATCTTTTATACATTCACGCTTGCCCCTCGTGCAGCAAGGCATTCTGCACAGCTGGTCATCGAGCTTGCCTTGCCCTTGCCTGGGCTTTCAGGAGGGACGTCTCTGATAAAGACATCCCTGAGTACAGGGGCTTTACTTAGTGTTGACAGACGGTCTCTTAATTAGTGTGCTGGATACAACGGTCTTGCATTCATTTATTGTGTGCTCTCCTGTGACTCACTCTGGCTTTGGAGGCAGGAAGAGAAAACATTCCCCCATCCTTGGCCTATTTACCAGGGTGACCAGTTACTATGATGTGGACTTCTGCAAGAGCAGGATTGTTGCTAAACAACTACCTGGTGGGAATGGCTTTTAATCAGGCTGCATTATGGAGTTAATGTAGCCTAAGCTACATTCTTTGCCCTATATTCTCGTTTATTTGACTGTTGATGGTTATTGCTTACGAAAAATAACCCTCATCCCAGTTTTCAGATAGATTTGTCAAGTCAATAAGAAAGAGAAAGCACAATAAAACAGGCCCATCACCTGAGAGTGTCTGTAGGCAGGCAACTGTGTCAAAGGCACAGCAGCTCTCTCTGATGCATCACTCAAAGAGAACAGGAAGCCGGGCAGACAAAGCCAGACCATCATCTTCCTTGTAGGGCTCCAAGGAATGCAAATTTAATGAGGCTCCTGATGTAAAGCTGCATTCCACCGGCTTTCACCACGCCTGCCAGTGATGGAGGTCTCTGCAGAGAAGGTAATGGTGAGGGGTTAGCAATTCTGTTGAAAACTGCAGCATACAGTAAAAGGAAAAATTGCTTTTTCTAACTTTGCTGGTGTTGGGAGCGAAGCCCACGCTGATGTGAGGGACAGTGCTCAATCAATCACTCAGCAGAGCCCAGCAAACTGCAGGAGTTATCACCAGCGCTGGTACAAGCACTCAGACAGTGACAGGATTCTCCTCAGCAGCGATTCTGACAGCCCTCCAGGTGCAGACAGGCAGACAAACAGACACACACACACACCCCCTGGGAGCCCCCCAGTCGCCTCTTTGCACACACACAGCACGCAGGGGCAAACAGACACACAGTGCTGCTGCCACAACTGCTCCCAGACGAGCCGCTCCCATCCCTTCTCTGCACACACAAGTACATCAACCTGACAGCCTCGGCTTTTAAAACTTGTACATGGTTTCCCTTCACCTCCCTTCACACACACCCCGCAGAGCTGCATTAGCCCGCAGCTGAACTAGAATTTTCTCTTGCTGTGTTGGCACCTACAATATATACATGAAGAACATGCCTTTCCCTGTCAACACAGAGATGCTCAGACTGCCACATTCAGCACTAAATATCCCTCCATGAACACACAGGGGTCTGCACAGCACTCAGAAAGCTCTGTAAAGGGATACTCACCTGGATGGGAAGGGGTAACTGCTCCATGGCAACTTCTGTGATTTCAGTCTCCTTTCATTCTGCGTTGGAAAGAAATAAAACATTTCAAATATTTGGGAATGGGAGAGGCAGGATGGTGCCCAGGGGAGATCTTCATACCTGGCTTAACATTTCCTTCCATGCCCCTCTGTGCTCAGAGAGCATCAGCCTCTGACTGCTATGACTTCCCTCCCTGAGGCCTCACAGAAGTGTGCAACCACACAGCATGTGCTGCCAAAAGGAGGACACAGTTCATTACTAGTTTAAATCAGCAACACTGAGCATGTTTCACTCAGATACAAGTTAGAACTGTCTGTATGAGCAGCACATAAACACAAACTGTATCCAGGTGTACCTGTATTACTTGCACAGACTTGTACACTAAGGTTTCAGTGTGTTCCTGCAGACTCCACCAGCAATGCAAATGCATCCACAAGGAATTAGCATTATTGGTGGCTTTTATCAGCAGTGCACGTGCCCAGGCAAACAGCACAGAGGCTGAGGGGTGCACACTGCTGTCCTCAGCCACACAGGTACAAACACACGTGTGACACCAACAGACATCAGCACTGTACTGCAGCCTCGGGGAGCAGCTGCAAATCCACAAATGCCGGGCCACAGGCACTGAGGCACAGTCACAGGCAGGCTGGAAAAGGATTGCTGCTCTCCCTAAAGCCATTCCTGGCTAAAGGATGCCTTTTGGAGTTGGGAAGCTGAATGAAAACTCCTTCCCCTTTATTCATGTCCTCACAGCCTCAGCAGCACTGCCTTCCACACCAAACCCAGGCTCTGTCGGCCATTCTGCTCGCTTGTATTTATGGCCCCTCTTTGAAATTCTGACTGCTCATCTATGCAGAATAAAACTACCCAAGCAATCCTTCCTGTCCAGGTGCTCATTACTAAAGTGTTAAATTATGCCAGGAAGGCTCTCTTAGGCCTTGTAAATTTTATCTGGGAGACTTTCAGCTTCCACAAGGTCTATTATTGCCTGATTGCCCGAAAGGCTTTTGAGTTTGTCCCAGTCAGCCACAGTGAGGGCTGGGCAAGAGCTGAGCACTGAGCTCCTGTCAAACACCATGGCTTGGGGTGGAAAAATGCCTCCATGTGAGTGTGTCTGGATGAGCACATGCAGAGTCTGTCAGCACAGCCCTGGAGCACACACAGGGCTACCAGGATTTGTGTACATGGATATGAGCCTGTGCTTGGCATTAGAAGAGTCTGGATCGAAGGCTGACGCTGTCCATGAGTGACTGTGGGTGCAAGGAAAAGGGCCAAGGACCTGTGTCTGTGGGCCTGATCTCAGCCAGGGCTCGAAGGAAGGCTGAACACACCAGTAAGCTTAATAAAGTAGAGAGAAAATAATGGAGAAACCCAGGAAGAAAGGGCAATAGCCCCCAAAGCCAGAGAGGTTTCTCTTTTATCAACTGCCAGCAAAATGTCCCAGGAGAATCTGCAGGTACATCCAACACCCCTCAGCTCCCAGGGGCAATCCTTATAGGATGCTGAGCTGCAGATAAAGCATATTTTCATATTAAAAGAATGGGGAGTAGGGACAAAATTATCTGTAGAGAAACTTCCCTCAGCCTTTTTGAAGTTGTGCTCTTTTTTCCTAGTGTCTTCCTGTCAGAGAACTGAGACCTTTTCTCCTTATCTTTCCTAACCCAAACATCCTGTTTGACAGAACAGCATGGAGAGGGATATTTCCTATCTGTCCATAAAACTAACAGAGCCATATCGCAAGCTATTTCTATGTGTTGTGTGTTTATAAACCTCAGCCCTGCCCTGACCAAGCAAAATAGCTTCTAGTTACCACTGATTCAGGCCTGAATTCAAATTGCCAGCCTATTATTCCTTACTCAGGCAACACTAGTACTCAAAAATTATGTTAAACATTTCCCAGATGCAGAAACAATCGCTTCCCCAAAGAGCAAGAGGTGAAGGCACGCAGCCAGCCAGCCCCCTCTTTTATTGGATAACATTTCTCATATATTTTGTGAGAGCCAGATGGCACCATCTGAACAGCAGTGAGCCCGGGAGCCTCCAGCCACATCAGGAAAAGGGAAGCGTGTCCCAGCCCTGCTGTGGGCAGCTGCCCCTGCTCGGGCACAGGGCACAGGACATGAAAGCTCTTCTGCGTAAATTCACACGTGGAAACCTAAATCACCACTGCTGACAGGCAAAACCCCACAGTCTTGTGGGCAGGAAGAGTTTCCCCAGTCCTGAGGCTCTCTGGAAAAGGAAGGTCTGTCTGCAGATTGCCAGAGAAAAAGAAACAGATGTAAAGAGAGACAGAGAGTGTTCTGAAGTTCTAAACCCCCGCTGTGTGTGAGGCCTTTTCCCTGCAATTAAGGGAAGCTAATGGTTTTATGGAAGCTGTTTGTTCAAAAGGCCTCCACTGCACTGTTTAATGGAGTTTCCCCAGCATTCCCCAAAGGCTTGCAGACTGCATTAGTATCCCACAGCTCACACCCTAACCAAACAAGCCTTCTCACCCTGGTGCCTCCACCCTGTGTGTACGGAGTGTAGGAGGATCAGGGCTGCTGTGCCTCCTGTGCTCGCCTTCCCACTGGAGTCTTGGAGCCCCAGGATGTGATGAATATTCACGGCATAAACATTAGCAGTAAGTATTGTGCAATTTGGACAAAAATATATTTCAGGCAAAGGAACTGGGAGAGAAAAACTGAGAGAGCATCCCTACTCCTGAGCTCCGGGAACTACTGAATCACGTTTTCCTGAGCTGTAACTGGTGGTTTTAAAATGCAAATCAGTCTTGGGTTTTTGAGAGAGACATTGTGAAAAAAAAAAACCAACAAAAAAAAACCCCAACAGACCCATGCAGCAGAGCTTTATTGCATTGTAATGAATGTGGGATTTGCAGAGCTGCCTCATGCCAGTGAATGCACAGTGGATGCAGGGCAGGGACTCGGGAAGCCCTGAGGCTTGTCCCCAGCCAGTTCTGCCACTAACTCACTGTGCGACCTTGAACGAGACACTCCTTCCTCCATCTCAGTGTTCCCATCACAGGACACGGGGAGGGGAGAGAGATGAGGCCATTTCTGTGCCTCCTGGTGAGACTGCACATTACAGGCCACTCTGAGGTGGGAGGCAGCAGAACTAATACAGCAGCTGTTTTCCTGCAGGGATCGATGAACCGGGCTAGTGTTGCCTTGCTCTTAATGGTCTTTCTGTGGCAGATACTGCTCAACCCTTCAAACTCTTTTTCCTGTTCCTATTCCACAGTTCAACCTTGGCCTTATGTCTCCCTTGTGTCTTTCTGCAGAGCTGGTCCCCCCACTGAGCCCCAGCGTCTGTAGAAACCCTTCTGCAACTGTTCAACTCTTCTGATTCACCTCCACCTGTAGAGCATCTAATACCATTTTCCCTGCCCTCCAGCTAAAGAGCTGTCCCCAAACAGACTCTACTCCACAGCTCATAGTAGAGCTGAACATAAAAGGGGAGGCAGAATAAGTGATTTTTTTAGTATAGATCGATTTTCTTGAAATTATTGGTGGTAGAAACTTAAACAGTAACAGTCTATTGAGGGGGGACAGTCTGAGGCACCTCACAGTCTGGAGGACACCTCTGTTCCTCTACTCCTGGAGCTCCAGGGTTCCCTCTGGGATCTTGAATGACTCTGATTATCTCCACCTGGTCTTTCCTCTAGTCCTCTGCTCCCTTCTGTCCACACAGGTGGTGGGAGGCGTTTGAGCTGCCATTTGTTTGTCCACTGTTGCCTCTTCTTATCATCTGCCTTCCCCACACTCAGCCCCCAGTGCTGGTGAACTCAGAAGGGTTAATTGGTGATTTCTAAATCACCTTTCAAAGCTGTCCCCTGCCAGCCACAGCCTGCACATCCCTCCTCCCAGCTCCCATGTACAGCACTGAAGGAAGGCTGCAGAATCTGGCGTTTAGAAACTAAGTTCACTCCACAAGGTCACGTCAAGGAGGCCAAAAATCACAGTCAGCCAGCAGTAGCCTTCACTTATCACCCACCAGAGAGAATATTAACTGGTAAAGCAGAGGCAAAGAGTACCATATTCCATTACCAGTCCCCCGAGCTCCCCCTCAACACCGTGGAGTGAGAGCTGTTAACTGAGCTCTTCAACTGCATTTTCAGTGGCAGAAATGCCCCAACAGCTGCCTGACCTTCATGTAGCAGAAGCCTCAGGTCCTCTCAGTTGCTGTGTGTCGCAGACAGAAATCACTCAGAGCCTTCTGATGCATTTCAGAAATTATTTCTCTGATGAAGGCAAGATCCCAAAGGAGGAACACACCACAAGGAGAAGCAGTCACGCTGGGGAAAAGTCAGGGCACTCCAGTCATAAAAAGCCAAGAAGTTCAAATCCAGGTGCCAAAATCTATGTTTAAACCCCTAAGCATCAGACCTGAAGCTCCCATTACATGCAGGAAAATCTGTGAGTACTCAAGGCTTTTCATAATTGGCCATTTATTTCCAGATATGTAAATAGGAATAAAGAGCTTCTTAAAAAATGCTCTACTGTACCAGCAGAACATTTCAGCTCTTCACTGGAAACAAATCTTTAAGAGGCACTGACTGGAACCAAAATACATTAGTTTAAGCTGAAATATTTATGGTTTAAGATATTCCTTTTTGAAGTAATTAAAATATACTTAAGCAATGCCTCATTTCTGACTCCTTTTCCACCAGCTGTGCAGTGGGGACAATCAGAAAGTTTTGCACATTGGTAGTGGCAGTAGAAAAATGCTTCTGAGAGTCAGGGGGGAGAAATGCCTGCTCCAGGAAGGCAGAACAGAATAAGAATTAGGAAAAAAAGGAGGAGGACAAGAAGTCAAACTAACCCATTCACACACTGAAGGAAAGGTGCACACCCACTACCACTTTGGAAACAAAGGAATTGTTACCCATCTCTTCAGCTTCTCTCTTGTTAGAGAACAAGGAGAGCTTGTAGAAGTGAGTCTGGGTCAGAAAATTACCAGAAAGTAAAGAATTCCTATAAAACAGAAAATACCTAGGAAGGATCTAGGTCAGAAAGTCCTTGCAAGCAAATCTGAAATCAAA